CAGGTGCCACGGAATCCCCCCCCCATGTGCCCAAGCTAAGGGGGGGTAGGAAGGAGGGTACTTCCCCTGCAGGTGGCTGCAGTGGGGGTGGTGGATGTGGGGCACAGCTATTACCGGAATTGGGTGGGGACAGTATCTGCCAGTGCTTCTTGCAGAAGTTGAGAACAAGTTACCCAGATGCCTGCATTCCCTCCACCCACCCCACCCCCAGGGCCAGAAGGGGGTCCTGGTACTTCCCCCTGCCACACTGGGGGCAGAGACTGGGGTTCTCAGTTCATCTGCCCCACCCCCCCTTGTACTAGGACAGACAAACCAACACAGGCAGCTTCTGCAGCAGAACGAGTCTTTATTCTATGCCCCCCCAGCTTTGTTACAAAAAAAACTGGAAGTTTGAACCCACAGGAAAAAAGCAGGAAAGTTCCAAACAGGTCAGGTGCAGGGTCCAGGGGCTCAAGCTGTTGCAGGCTCCCCGCAGTGGTTCTGAAATCATGAAGGGAGTGGGGCGGGGAAGAAGCAAATAGTGATATGGGGGGGCAGGGCTGGGAGGACCCAGGTTTGGGGGGGGGGCTGGGCTGAACTGGAGAGGACCTAGGCATTAAGGGGGGTTGTTCTCCAGGCATAGGGACATAGTAGGGGCTGTTGGGAAGGGAGCCCAAGGCCAGGGTGGGTCTCAGGACATGGTGACAGGGAAGGAGCTGCTGGGAAGGGGACCCAGGCAAACAGGGCATGCCTGCTCAGGGCACAGTGATGCGGAAAGGGCTGCCAGGTGCGTGCTGGTCACCCCATTTGAGCACAAGAATGTGATCACCACGCTCACGCAGCAGGTAGGCAACACTGTATAGCCGGTTGCCCAGATGTTTCACCACTACTTCCTCGCATGGGGTCCGTGGGCCCTGCACCCCGACCAGCAACATGTTCGACCCTACAGGATAGGGTGGGGTCAAGGCATGGAGCGCCTGGTCTCCACCAGGAAATGGGGGGGGAGGGGGGCCATGCCTGGGTTGAAAACATGAGGAACCCCCACAGGCAGCCCAGAGCTCCCTTAGTAAACTAGCCCCTCCAACCCTCTCAGAGCAAGGACCCCAGCACCTGGGAGCCAACACCCACCACCCCAGAGGGGACCCAGGTGTCCTGGCATCCCCCATCTACCCCACTGATGAACCCCAGCATCTAAGCAGCCTTCCCTTAACCCAAGTGTCTGGACCCTGCTCCCCACCCCCACAAGAACTCCCTGCACTCACCAGCCTTGCTGCAGTCCACAGTGAAAGAGTTCTTCTGGCCCACAAAGGCCTTGCTCAGCCCCAGCCCCTTGGCTACCACCTTGCTAGCGTCAGAGGCAGGGGCGGAGGGTGGGGCAGCAAGGGTGGGGGGAGCAGTGGAAGGCCCCCTACTCCCCTCCACCCGGCCCCCAGCCTCCACCAGCACCGACGATGACTCTCGGGTACTAGGCGAGCTCACAAGGCGTGGGCCTGTGGGCAGCAAGGGGTTAATTGTTGGGCGGACTACAAGGGGTGAATCCCACTCCCCTTCCAGCTGGAGGCAGAGGCTGAGAAGCTGGGGATGGGCATGGAACCCAGGTGTCTGGGAGGGGGGGTCATTCCGAGGGCATGCTGACATGGCTGGGGCTGCTGGGGAGGAACCCAGGTTTCTAGGAGGGGATACAAACAGCCGAGTGGGTGGCAAGAAGTTAATGCCTGAGTTTTGGGGTGGGCAGGGGTTAATCCACCCTCCCAGCCTGTGGGGGTAGAAGAGGTGGGTTCTCCCACACTCAACTTCCTTACAGTGACCTGAGTTTGCAAAAAGCCCGTGCCCCGTGCTGCTGCTGACACTCACCGGTGATCTTGGCTTTGAAGGGGCTGCCGGCAATGTGGTGGGGGCCGCCATACTTGATGGAGATGAGGTAGCTGCCTGGTGCCAGGGGTGTGTAGGCTACACGGTAGCCCTCGGCTGCCTCACGCACCTCCAGCTGCACCTTGGATGGGCCATCCACTGTCACTGCCAGTGTGCCTGGTCCTGCCCCTGCTGTGTTCACCACAAACTCTGCTGGGCTCCCTGTGCCAGGGAGCAAGGACAGGGGTCAGGGACCAGCTCAGGTCTCCTCACTCCCAACCCACCACTCCATCATGCCCCTCACTCCCGACCTGCATCCTCCTATTCGCTGTGGTGCCCTTAACTCCTGACCTGTAGCTCCTCAATCCCACCCTGTATCCCCCTATAAACCCACGGTGCCCCTCACTCCCACCCTGAAGCCCCCTATACCCCACAGCCCCCCGGCCCCATACCGGTGACACCGCCCTCGAGGCCAGGGCCATAGGCGGTGACAAGCCCAGGGTCTCCAGCCTGCCCAGGCTCCCCAACACGCATCTTGAAGGGGCTGCCAGGAATGTGGGCACCATTGAAGGTGACATCGATGGAGTAGACACCGTTCTCCCTTGGGATGAAGCGCACTGCGTACTTGTCTGGGAGCAGGGGGAGAGGGGCAGCATCAGGGCCAGTGGTGGAGGGGCTCCCCAGCCACCTGGGTTCTTGCCCCAGCTCAGGGCAGTGCTGGGACAGCACAGGGCTGGAAGCCCAGATGCCTGGGTTCTATCTGGCTTGGGGAGGGTGGGTTAAAAATCTGGGGGCGAGGTGGAGCTGGGAGCCTGGATGGCTGGGTTCTCTGGGTAGGGAGTGGGGGATGGAGGGTAGATCCCAGCCGACCGGTTCTCTCTCAGCTTGAGGCCTTGACTCCACTGACTTGGGTGGATCTGGGGGATGGGGCTGGGGGGCTCACCTTGGTCAATCTCAGTGACATGACACTCCTCAAGGGCACCTGAGGGGCCATGCACCTGGGCCTGAAGTGCACCGCGGGCCCCGTTGAGGCTGACTGCAAAGGAAGCGGGCTGGTGGGCCTTCAGGCCCGACTCCTGGAAGCACACGCAGGGTTAGCGCCATCACTGCCTGGCCCAGCCCAGCCCACACACCCTTACACAGCATAGGCATGCAGGGTGGGCATGCAACATAGATGCAGACATGTGACACAAGGACACAGACATGCAA